AGATCCCTGGAACAGGCTGCCCAGAGAGCTGGTGTTGGCCCCATCCCTGGGGACATTCAAGGTCAGGCTGGATGAGGCTCTGAGAAGCTCTATCTACTTGGAGATGTCCCTGCTGATGGCAGAGGGGTTGGACTAAGTGACCTTTGGAGGTCCCTTCCCACCCAAACCATTCTATAATTCCTGTCATCCAAAGGAAGATGGAATCTAATTCCCAGTAACCTTTAACATCACCTTCCTGTGTGCCATCTCTCACCAACACGATTTGACAGGAGAAAGACACTGGAATGGTTTAGCCTGGACAGAAGAGAACATTTTAAGGTAGAGAACTGCTGTCCCTGCCAAGGTGCTCCTTGGTGATGGAAATCAAAGTGTTCACTGATGCTGCTTTAAAACAATAACCTGGATGGAGCCTCCAACTGATCCCAGGAGTTATCACTTCTAACAGAAATGATCTGAAAACCCAAATCCTGCATTGCTGCTCTCCTGAAGGTCACAACAGCCCTAACATATGCCACTCAAACTTAGTTTTTTTTCTTCTGCTCTTTCTTTCAGTCGATGACCTGCTGAAAGAAGCCAAAGTTGGACCAAATGGGACAATCCAATATGAAGATTTTGTCCGTGTCATTTGTCTGCCTACAGCTGACTACTAAAATTGAAACGAGTTTGGGTAAGAGCAGGACCTGAGACCTTTTTGACTTTGTTGGGGGTTTTTTTGCTGGTTACTATTTGGCCCTGGGAATCATCCTTTGCCTTTAAAAATCCTGATTTTGCCTTCATGGTAGAGCTTACTGAGGTTTCCAGCCCGTTTCTGGAGAAACACTGTCCCAAGATGTGAGCTCTCTGTTGTTTAAGTAAAGTGAGTGTAACGCTCCCTTGTGTGATGGCTCATGCTTAAAAAAAACCCTCTGATTTTAAATATGCTACAGCATAAATGACAATTTTGTGGTTAAGGTTTCTCAGTGAAAGCTCCAAGGAGTCCACATCACCCTTAACCCTTTGCTGCTGACGTGTTCTCTGTGCAGAAAGCTCCCTCGCCTATGTCACAGCAGTTCAGTTCAGGGTAAGCACACACAGCTCCCAGGATTCCTCAGCTCCATGGGAAGTTCCCAACCAATGTTCCCATCCCAAAGCTGCCAACAGCCCACCCTGGCAGGGTGTTGTGTCCCTCTTGATGACCAGGGGGACAGGGGACAAGCAGCAGGCAGCTCCCCAGCTCCTGATGCTCCCAGGAGCTTTCAGGTCTCCCCCTGGTTAAGCTGTCCCTGCCTTTGGAGGCAACAGGCTGAAGATGTTGGGCTTGGTAAGTGGCTCTGTCGCCAAGCTCTGGGCTAGTTGCCCAAAACACACTCCTAGAGACAGCCTGGCAGGGAAGAACAGGGCAGGAAAATTCAGCTTCTCTGCAACAGCAAAAAAAACCCGCCCCACCCCATCTCTGACTGACTGATCCCACCCTGACCCAGAGCAGCTACTGCTGATCTTCCTCTGCTTCTGTCTTAGGAGCCTTAACCAAGGGCCTCAGGCTGGTATGTGAAATTTTCAGTCATAGAAGTGTTTTGGTTGGAAGAGACCTTTCAGATCATGGGTTCCAACCCCCAGCACTGCCAGGTCCCCACTGCCCCGTGTCCCTCACACCACATCTCCCCGGCTTGGAAACCCCTCCAGGGGTGGGGACTCCACCACTGCCCTGGGCAGCCTGGCACAGCCCTGGACAACCCTCCAGGGCAACAAATTGTTCCTCAGGGACAACCTCAACCTCCCCTGGGGCAACTTGAGGCTGTTGCCTCTTGTCCTGTCCCTTGTTCTTTGGAGGAAGAGCCCGACCCCCACACCAACATACAGCAGATTCTCCTTGGACTCAACTGGAAATTTGCAGAGAGCAGCTCAGCACAGTGACAGCGTGAGCAGGCTGGAGGAGCTCATCTTCTGCAGCTTCTACCCATAGAAGCCCCCTTCCCCTCCTTCCATTTGTGCTTCTCCTTCATTCTCTTAACTCTGAACCTTAATCACTGAAGCAACCAACTCGATCTTTGCTCTGTCTGTGAAATAATCCCCAGTTAAACCACGACACTGCAGCTCCAATGCTCCCAGCACAGCCTGACCACCACAAAGCTACCACCGAGTTCACCACATCTCTGCAACACCTGGAATCAGCTGTAACTAGCCCAAACTTGGTCAGGAACTGAAAAAAAAGCCCTAAGTATGAGCAAATATTAACCCTTTTAAATCAACATCTCTGCAAGGGTCAGGTAGGGGTTATTCTCACAGGGTTAAAAGAGCACAAAACATGACATCTGAATGCTAACCCAGTAAGCTCAGAGCTGGATCCTGACATGTCAAGATACCAACACCAAGGGCCCTCTGATGGTGCTTCAAGGGGAAAATGAACCTTGCTTGATGTCCAACTGATGCACCTTAAAGTGTCCTGCCCTATCCTCTAACTCTTAGATTACCCTTTCCACAAAGAGAAAACATCAACAAAAAACCCCCTTGTTTCTCTGAAAATGAGAGCTACAAGCAGCTCAGCCCTCAGATAACACTCCAGGAAAACATTATACACTGAGCTGGAGATAGGATTCACCAGAAGAACCCAGAACAGGTTCCAGACACAGCAGGAGTGGCTTTTCCTCCCAGCCCATGGTCAATGTCTGGACAAATCCCCACCTACCTTTGCTGAGCAGCTCCACACCGGTGCCCTCTGCAGCTCTGCCCACAGCCTGGAGGGTGGTTTCTGCTCCCCCAAACCTCTCCTGCAGCCACTGAAGGCGAGCAGAAAACCCCTGGGTTGCTGAGAGGGTGATTAGCTGATGGAACGAGGAGCCCAGGTCAGTGTTTGTCTCCAAAATGGCTCAAGAGGGGAGGTGCACGCAATGTGCTCCCCGTTCCACTCCTCCCCATGGAGCAGCAGAGCTATCAGCAAACCCTGCCAGCCCCAGACAGCACCCAAGCTTCTCTGGCAGGGGATTGATCAGCTCCCAACCCCTTTGGGTGGCTCCCAAACACATCTCTGCTTTATCTAGTGGGTGGGCAAACATCAACAACCCCCTAAAAAACAGCCACCCATCACACGTCCTCCCAAAACACAGCAGTGCTGTTAGAGCTCAGAGAGCTTTGCCCCACAAAACTCCTCAAAGCACAAAACCTCTGCTCAAAAAGGACCTTTGCCACCCAGAGTTCATGGAAAACACCCTCCTCACCCCCCTCTTTCCTTCCCTGTAACTGAATGCTTTTTATTACATCTAAAGATCTCTACATAAACAGGTAACATTCAATAGGCACAAGGTAACTGAATGCTTTTTATTACATCTAAAGATCTCTACATAAACAGGTAACATTCAATAGGTAAACCATTTTTTTTTTTCCAATGCATATAATAAATATTTTCACTTGGTACTTTTATACAAACTGACATTGGTCTACTATACATTTGTAAAAGCCATTTACTGGTTTGGCATGCCATATGGAAACTAAGAGAAAGTTTTAAGGCAATGGATGACAGGTTTAAATTCATGGAATTAATGGTAACTTTAATATTCTGCTTATATACATTTTTTTTTCCCTTTGTTAATTAAAACAATTAACAGCAGCACTTTCGGGGACCACCAGCAATTTTCCCTTGTTAGAAATCTAAGCTCTGTTAAAAAAAAAAAAAAAAACAACAAAAAACAAAAAGGAAGGGAAAAAAAAAACCCCTTACACTGACAAAACAAAATCTCTTCTCTTTAAAATGTGCTTAAAACCCTGAAATGTTCAACTGCCACGAGGGATTTGTTTCAAAAGGTTCTCCTCACAGTCCTCAGCTCTGTGCTGGGAGGCAGGTGGGAGGGTGATGACAATCTGACACTCATCCCATCCTCCAATGGCTTTGGGGAATCCTTGCCAGGAGGGGTCTGTCCCCTCCCAAAGGAAGCATCAGTGATGCCCCCAGGGCGATGCCAGGGCTCAGGACACAGCCCTGTGTGCACACCCACCTCCATGACAGGGACACGAGTTTTGGAGTGACATTTGCAGGGAACTTTTTTGTTTTTTGGAGAACTCAGACTGAGACTTCTACCAAGCAAGGTGAACTGTGGTCAGAGGCACAGAGAATGGGCAGCTACCCGGGAGGCCCCGGCGCGGGCCAGGAGCACGCACTAGGCGTTGGGGGGTGAACACCCCAAGGAGGACTCCAGAGCATTTCTGTCCCTTCTTTGTAGAGTGAGGAGGTTCAAAAGCAGCCTTCCTCCCCTTCAGGGTGACTTGTGAGGAACTGGAAGACGTCATCAGCCGACCTCACCTTCCACAAGCTCCAGAGAGGCGGAAAGATGCCGGGTTCTGGGTCACACCAGAGGTTTAATTCACAAGGTTTTAACCCTGCTGCCAGAAGTGACATCGAGCTGCTCTTCAGGTCATCTTTAACAACACAGTCAGTGGAAGCCTTGCCAGAACCATCTCCTGGAGGTCTGTGGGGTGCTGCAGGAGCTGGGACACACACACACACCCCCCTGGTGACACCAACGCCTGTGCTCTGGAGCTGCCGGGTTAGTATTGATGACTAAAATATCTGAGAGATATTCCTAGCATAGGTTTAATCACTTCAAAATCAGACTGAGTTTAAAAAATAAGTATTTCCCGTTTTCTAGCCTTTTATTTTATTTTTTTTTAACTGACATTTAATAAATTATAAAATTGGTGTATGGTGAAATATATATATATATATATATCAGCCAGATATGTATGAAATACACATGCATGGGAAAAACTATTTAACTCACTTTTAACTCACACACACGGATCTATAAATACATATATACACACACATATACATATAAACACAAAAACATTTGTTTGCAAAATTCAAGTCAACTATTTAGTGGCAGAGGGATGCTGTAAAAACACTAAAAACGATTTTGATGCCACGTAATGTGAAACCTTTCAAATAACCATACAACTGATCATACAGCAATACCTAATGCTACTTGGATTAAAGGGTTTTTTTTTCTTTTTTCTTCTTTTTTTCCTTTTTTTTTTTTCCTTTTTTTTTTTTTTTTAATCAATGCAAAGTTTTGAGACAACATCTTAGGCAAAAGGTGGCCCTTGTCAATGCTCTAAAGCAACTAGCTGCAATCAACAGTTTTGGACGTTAAAAATTCAGACAAGAATCTGCTAATTTTAGTATTCCTTAACTCTCTCTTCCTGATAAACTTGTTACCTGCACTTTCAACCAGTTATAAAAATATTTTTCACACCAGAGGAAATATTTACTCTCTCTGACATGGACTTTGGGACACAAGAGAATCACTTCCTTCCCTCCCCCTTCTCTCACTTTAAAGAATCTCCTGAAAAACTGCATTCCAGCTATTTACACATTTTCACTCTGTAACAAGAACAGATCAGCCCCAAAGGACTCATCAGTTCTTAAAAAAAAAAAAAAAAAGAAATATTAAAGATTTTCCTATGTCATGCACAACCTCAGAAAACAAAATGAAGAGAGAAAAGAAAGCAGGAAGTTAAATATGGCTCAAAGTTCAACACAGGCGTCCTGAAGAACCAGGGAAATCAAAATCATCCCAAGGGCAAAAGGAGAAAACTGAATTTTGAAACCCACTCCTCTTCCATAGGTAGTGATAAGTTTGAGGACACGGTGGGGGCTTTTTATTGGGTTGGTTTGGGGTTAAGAGACTCAGGTAGAAGGTTTAGTATTTATTTGGATCACTGTGAGCTCAGAAGACAGCGTCCCAAGACCCTTCTCAGCTGCACAAACCATGCAATAGTGTGGTGGGATGTGGAGTTTCTGCCTTTTGTTGGCAAGTTTGCTTGGAAGCAGGAATTTGAAGCAGGAATTCTACTGCAGCTAAAAGTAGGTTTTTCTCCAGACAGAACAAGACAGGTCTCAATTCAACAGGCTGCTTATACACGCATGGCTAACTTGAAAGCACAAGCAGTTCCACAGATCTAAAGGATGACACATGCTTAATATTTTGCTGATTAGGATCTAAAGTTGTTTTAGAAGGGATTTATAGGAAGTTCATAGATGCAAAACCCTACAGTCCAATGTGTCAATGCTTTTATTTGGGGCTAGGTTCTATAAAAACTCTGTCTTGTCCCACAGAAGCACAGCCAAGAAATTCCTCAGCCTGAGATTTTATTGAGTCTGGCCCTCAAGGATAATTGGTGCACTAATGAGCTTGTGCAACAGGCTTGACTAAAGCATGGAATGCAAAAAAAAACCACCAACCCAAAATTATCAAAACAGAGGGCCACATAGAACCAGAAATGATCAAAAAACCTGCTAAAAAACCAAACCCACTCCTGAAAGGCTCTGTCCTGCAAACAGAAGGGATGCTGTGGAACAGCTCGGGTGGGGTTGATTCCACTTTAAGCGTAATAAAATCTGCACTAAATATGGGATGAGAGAATTCGATTCCACCACCAAAGGTGAATGTCTCCAAGAGAAGACAAAAACCTTCTTGCCAGTTTGAACTTGAGAAGTTCAGTTCCTTTCCCATTAATGGTACTGTGAAGAAAATAATGCCATTTGTGTCCAAACTACGGGAGGGGGGAAATAAAAAAGTAACTCACATGACAAATGCACAGGTGTAAAATCTTCAGCATCCATAAAAATGAACTGAAGCTCCTTGTTTTTGTTAATTTTTTTTTGTTGTTGTTTCTGTTTTTTTTGTTTTTTTTTTTTCTTATTTTCACCACCGAGGCCATCTTAGGTTTATATACAAAAGTAAAACTGAAAATATACTTTTGTTCTCTGTACACGTAAATTTTTTTTCCCTAAAAAAGGAAAAAAAAAAACCAAACAAAACAAACCCTTGTCTATGTTTCTAACATAAAGTAAAACCAAGCACAATGATTTCCTCTGACGAGTTCATAATACTCCAAAACAAAAAAAATATATAGAAATGAATCAGTCCAAGGAAATAATGTCTGGTATGATACCAAAGATAGACGCCGTGTCCGTGCTGCTCCTACTTGCAACTGGATGACCATGATTCTCTCGCAGGCTGTTGGAGGAAACAAGACTGCTGTTACTGCCACTATTGCTACCATTTGTGGCTGGCAGAGAACTGCTTCCTCCTGCATTTAGCTGATCGAGAAACATCTGAGATGAAGTGTAGGGGAAAAAACGAGAGTGTAAAAGTTCTTGATCATCGGATGCGGAAACTGCCGCGGCTGCAGCGGCAAGAAGGGAGGTGTTGTAATGCTGGGGGGGGAAAAACAACATTTGCAAGTTACATTTCAGACACCAGAGTTTTGATTCAGAGCAGCACAAAAGAAGGTATTCGTAAGCTAAAGCTCTGCCAGCTTCTGGGTTTCACACCAGCTCGTCTGCTCAACCTGGCCGTAAGGTAAGAGGACCGACGCAGGGAAATTTTGCCTCGGCAGCCCCTGAGCTCTGAAGCCAAAAGAAGATTGGAAATACTAGTATTAGTAAGAGCAGAGAGGATTGCAAAACACCCCAACCAGTGAGAAACGGTAAGAAGCAGCACTCTTTTACCTCTTCAAAAAATTCCTTGGTGGAAAAACTCCCCAAAATTCAAAGAAACATTTTTTGCCATCCCTCTCCTCCGCTCAAAAGCCACAGACCAAGCAGAGCTGGGGAAACTATGTGCTAATCATCACTGCTGGTGGAGGGAAGCAAACTCCTGTGAGAAACCCATTTAGAAATAGCCCACTTAGTCCCATCAGATGGCAGCCAGGGCTGCCCAGAGTTACACTCTCTGCTGGGCAGCCCCTGGAAGGCAGGAACTTGGGCTATCAGCAATCAGACTTTACATACAGTCTTCTCTGCAGGGTACTTTTGCTCTCGATGTTTCTTTCTGCTATGATGAAACACAGACAGAGGCTTTTTATTCAGCCTTGTTCCCCAAAACGTACACGCTGGTAGAATGATGCTGGATCAGGGCAGCATCAGACTTCTGCACTGATTGTTTCAGAATAATTCCCTTGTTTGTTTGACTGAATATCCAGGTAGCTTTTCTGAATCCAAATTCCACAATGCAGGCTCTGGTCTTAAGTATAATGTGAAACTATCCCCCTCCATCTAGTGGAACTCTCCTACACCAGGTTGCAGAGCAGATCTAAAGGGACAAAGGGCAGCTGAGCCACCCCAGCCCCCTTCTTTTCCCAAAGGCACAGAAGGAAAAATGATCCCGTGGGAGGACTTGCCAACCCAGATTCCTTTTGAGGATGACCTGCTCACTTCCCAAAACTGGAGATGCCAGCACCAACCCAACCCATTTCAGCAGGCACGTGCAGACAGGTGCCAAGCCTGGTGTGAACAGGCCTCAGAAACACCAGAGAGCTGCCCCTGGGTTGTGCAGAGGACTCTCAGGAGTCCCAGTGGTGGGGCCCAGCCCTGTCAGATGGGCAAAGTCAGACCTCAGGACTAAAAAACTAAGGAGGTGGCTGGTGGTCCTTCAGCCACGGCCAAGGGTCATTCCCAACACGATGGTGGCTGACTGAGCTCAACCCTTGGCAAGTGAAATGTTTATCTTTTGTTGTGCCTCATCTTACACCCATACTGAGATGATGTTTGTGTTTGGTCACAGTCCCCATGTGTATAAAATAAAGCTGCAGCCTGCCTACATTCACACCTACATCATACATCTGCTCCTTCCTTGCCTAGACAGCCACGCCAGCAAGTCCTCCTCAGAAAAAGAGTATCTGCCTTCACTCACCTGATTGTCTCCCGACAGGAAAGGGAAGAAATCTAAACCTGTAAAAGACAGAGGAAAAAAATCAATTTAAGCTTCTCAAATCAAAAAAAGCACCTCCTCATTTTTTCCACCATTTCTTTTGAAATAAAACCCATCTAACACTGATGACACTCCAGATTTTTTCCACTACCAAAGCTTGCAAAATATCAACTTCTTAAAACCTGAAGATATTAACATAAATTTTCTCAAAAAACTTAACAAATTTTCTTTTTTAATGCTATCTCAGTCTCCGTGGATGCAAAAGAATACTTTGCACTACTGGACTGTCATGTGACTGCAGGTTTAAATCCTTTTAAAATTATTTGGTTGCTTGGAGAGCTGTCCTTAATCCACAGCCAGCCAGAAGCTCACCTTGCAAGTCGTAAGGCATAGGTGTCATGTGGAATGGGTGCCTGTAGTCTTGGATAAGTGATGTATTGATGTAGCTGGTGTCAACAGCAGGAAGGCTTGGTGTTCTTGACACAGGAGATGCTTGATGGGGTAAATTTAAAATGCTGGAAGAAACAAAGACTTGTTACAAGTGTAAAATATAATCTTGGCTTTAATTAAAAAAAGAGCATTTGAAGATTCCTGTTGCTGTCCCAGGCAGGGCACATCCATTTTCAAATCTAACACCAAGTCAGCCTCTCAATATGCACTATGAACTTTGTGACAGGCACATAACAAGTCCCCTACTAGATTTCAAAGCATCCCAATGAATTTTGAATCCTCCATCAGTGCTGTGGGGAAGAGATGGAAGAGACGTGAGTCCTAAAGGTATATTGAACCCCCAAAACCCAGACAAATCTGTGTAACAGCCCAACATTTACACTCTACAAGGTAGTTAGCAATGGAAGACAGCCAGAAAGGTCTGGAGGAGCTTTAGGTGATCACTGAGCTGTTTACATCACTGGAGTTGTAATCACTTCAACAACAGGATCCCTTTGGTTCAGCCTCAGCTTTCACCCCTGCATGGTTCTGTAAGCAGGGTGCTATTAGCACCTGGATCTTGGTGCAATCCCATTATTCTGGTGTTTTTATTGTTGGCAGAAAATACTGGCAACCCCCCCACACTCCCACACCACACCCTTGTTTCTCATTTCTTGCTCCCTGTGTTGGCCTGTGTATTTTATTCTCACCCCTTATTATTTAATGGTGATGCTGGAGATATGGAAGGACAGCTTCTCTTTGCAGATGGTTCTTCCTCTTCTTCATCTGATGAGCTATCAATGGTTAAATCAATCACTTCCACCTTCTTATTTTTATTTGACTGTTGGTGAGAAGACACCTGATGTTCCAAGGAAGAGCTTATGCACCCTATACAAAGCAAATCAACATTATAAGCTGTAGCTTACAAAACCACTACAGTTATCACAACATCACACCTTATTCCATGCCTTCATAAATAAAACTTACAACTTAGAGTAACCAACACAACAAAATTACATGAAGTTGATAAAAAAATTTAAAACTCCATCAGCCCCCAAACAGGTATTCCTCAAGTAATCTCTCCCACAAATGATCACTAAAAACTACAAACATACATGCAAAACTGAGTATTTTGACAAGTTAAAGGAACATTAATATTTAAAAGTTGAACAGACCCTTCACCACAAAACACAACTCACCATCCACCCCGTTGTAAGATGCAGTTACTTCCTGCACTTCCTTCTTCGACCTCATTGGAGCCCAGGATCCATCCTCCTTAAACTGAATTTCATCACAATCTGTACAATACTTCAGGATTTCCATGAACAACCTGTCAATTGAAACCATTTCATAGCAGTCCTCAAAGAAAGCTTGACTCCTTCTTTTCCCCCAAAATCTTTATTAGTCAGTGTGAGTTTGAATTAGTGTTTCAAAAGAGCCTAAAGCTTTCAGTGTTCCACACTTCCTCTCATCTGCTGCCTTAATAAAAAGGAGTTAGTGAAAAATTTAAAATATTGTCTAAAATAACAATCTGCTTGTTCTCTTCAAAGAACTGCAGGAGTGGAGCCCTGCAGACCTCACAACACAGAACTCTCCATTTCCCAAAACAGAGGAAGATTGTGAACTAGCATTAAAAAAAAAAAAATAATAGAAAAATCTCCTCCTTACCCATCTTTACCTTTGGCAATATTTAACTGAGGAAGCCCAGACCTCAAAGGGAGTCCATGTAGCTGAGGACCACTAACTTCCTGAAACCTCTTTCTAAGGACAAACTTCCTAACAAAAGCTGAGCATGGGAATCTAAACTTACAGCCTCTTCTCCTAGCTGCACCTCCTAAAACTTTTAGGATCCTGGCACCACTTCACTCCCAGTGGGAATTCCAGCTTTTGACCAAGACTCTCCAAGTGGTTCTACATGGGAAAGAGCTTTGAATTAATTAGTGAGAAAGTTTGCTCTTTCCAGATTGAAACATCTGCTAGAAATAAACTTTGCTTTGGGATGCTGTAATTCTATCACCTAATCTCCAACATCTGCACCTTGCAGGGCAAGAAGAAATAAGGAAAATGCTTTTTAATTATTACTACTCTAAGTCTTCACTACTTCAGGCTGAAACCCAGAACAAGGAATCCCACAGGTCTTTTATCCAAAGCAGAGGACCTGTAAATCTCTGGGGCCATGAATCCACAGCAGCCTGTGTGAGCCCTGAGTGTCTCTTTTTTTCTTCAATAAAATATCCTCAGAGTATTTTCAGAAGACCCTACTTGTGCTCTTCACTTATCACACTTTGGAAAGCTGATTCTTGTCTAAGGAATTAAAATGCAACCTAAGGAATACAGAACTTGGCATTTCTGCATGGAAACCAACTAGATTTCCTTTTTTTTTTTTTGTTAATGTTTTACATGTGGGCAGCACCAGGGAATCAATCTCTATGCCAGAGAAGGCAGATTTCAGAGCACAGCACAAGAGCAGCAGGTGGAGAGTGTAAGGTCCATCCTTATTTTGACTCCAGCTCTACTCACCCGTCGATAATGAGGTGTTCATAGGGAGCCTTCTTGTCACAGACAGGGCAAACCCAGGTTGGTTTCTTCTCATTCATTTGAATATAGAGAGTGGCATCAAAACACTGCAGGTGTGAACAAGTCAGGGCCCTACAGGGTATAGTCAGCCGCATTTTGCCAAGCTTTGGGAGAAAAAGAGACACAAGATGACATCATATTGGTAGTAAATTAACAAACAGAGCTTTTATGTCTGAATAGAGACAGAGACAGGTAAAGTTTTACTCTGTAAAGATCTCTCACAAATAGAAATATTGATTAAAATACATGCCACATCCATTTTCTCCTTCCTGCACGTTTCATTATCACATACAAGTTATCAAAAATCACATTTTAAACTATATTTGATGAAAGAAACTGAAGACAGCATGGTTCCATATTCCCCTAACACAATACAGAGTCCCCACAGGACCAGTGACATGCCAGTGTCCTGGATGAACCACAAAAAAAAAAGTACTTCTCCACTGTTGTTTGGAAAGCTGATGACCATGGGTTAACTCACAGTCAACATGTGTGGTCAAGTTGCTGCCCACATTTTTCTCTAACTCCACCATTTTCACTGCTTTCTCCAAAGGAAGGGGCTACTCCCAAATAAGTCATACCTGGTAACTGTCAAGAAACTGTTTTATACTCCTCCTGCTGGGATGACATCACTGCTGGGTACACAGTTGTGAGCTACCCTGAAATTTCACTGCCACCCTTTGTGTCAGCCACAAATAACTAGCTAGCCCCATCACACCTTTTCAAAGGCTGCAAAGACCTGTTGGAGCAGGGCCAGAGGAGGCCACAACAACGATGGGAGAGCTGGAACCCCTCTGCAAGAAGGTCTCCCTGGAGCCTTCTCTTCTCCAGGCTGAACCACCTCAACTCTAAAGACAGAGACAATCTTTTGAGCAGGGCCTGCTGGGACAGGACAAGGGGTGACAGTTTCCAACTCAAAGAGGGATATTTAGACTGGAGAGAAGGGAGAAATGTTAGACCCTGAGGGTGTTGAGCCCCTGTCCCAGGCTGCCCAGAGAGGTGGTCACTGCCCCATCCCTGGAACCATCCCAGGTGAGGTTGGCCAGGGGTCTGAGCACCCTGCTCTAGCTGCAGATGCCCCTGCAGGGGGAGGTTGGACTAGATGAGCATTAAAGGTCCCTTCCCACCCAAACCATTCTGTGTTTCTATATTAATGGAAGATAAGACAGCAGAAAGTGAGTTCTCAAGTACATGCTGATGTGGGGTCCATCCTTTCCTTCAAGTGTGCAGGAAGGCCAGGACAGGGAGGCTTTGCAGGCCAGCACAGAGCTCCTACAAGTTTAACACAAAAAGCCCAGCTGAGTGCTTAAACTGAGCAGATGTTGTAGGAGTGCTACACAGTGAGTGTTTAGGCTAAACCATGGAACTGGAAGTTTTTAGTTTGGATTAAATAAATCAGTGCTAATTCAGACCGTAAAACATGAATACATGATTATATTGATTGCAAAATTGATTAGACAGTGAAAGGGATTTCAAATTCAAGTGAAACAAAGTTTCCTCTCCTCAAAAAAAACCAAGGAGTTGTTTCCTCCCAAAGTGCTTACACTGCAGTTTAGGAGGAGCTTTAACTGACCACACTAAAGGTAAGAAGTAGGAATGCCTAAACAAGACTTTTTCCCACGTTAGAACCCAACAAAGCAATTATTCATTAAGAACTATTAACAGGGGGTATTTTGAAGTTGTGTGTGTTTCAGTCCAACCTGTGTAAGGCCACCGTTTGGAAACCTCCAGCCCGTTCCAGCAGTGGCTGGCAGGAGGAGCTGTTTTCAGCCCGGTTTAAGCCAGCACCGAGTGCTTCTGAGCAGTACAGGCTGGGTGCCACAGGATGGCACTCCACCTCAGAATATCAGAAAAATAAAAACAATATCAAGAACAAAGGCTCTACTCAGTCCACTACTTCCTCCATGATGCTTTTTTTTTTTTTTTTTTTTAAAATCCCCTGTTAGCAGAAATCCCTCCACCACATTTCCCAGCAAATTCACAGCTCGACTGCAGGATTTTGCTTATTTTTCTTCCCTCTGGTTCTCAGTCACTGTCACAAAACTCGCCACCAGATGGGAGGGGAGCAGAGAACCCCCTGGGGAGCCTGCAGTAATGGTGCTGGGGAGCTCAGACCACAGGAGGTGCTGCCTGTGCCATGTGTTTGGCACCCCCTCCCCCAAAATCCATGACCAAGCACATTATTTCTATCACATAATCAACCCCCAACAAAGCAAGGCCTCCTGATCCATGTCTGTTATGAATTCTTATCTCCCAGATGGTAGGTCAATGGCTCATTTGTCTTTTGGGCACAGCAAGTGTCTCCCAGCTCAGCAAGGATGGAGAGTAAGGGTACAGGAGAGAAAACCTCCACGCTTCTGTGTGATGCCAAACAAATATAAGGAAGATCAAAGACACACAAATACCTGTCTCCTGAGTAAAAAAGCAGATTTAAACCAGAAACATTTTGAGAAGCTTTTGGGATAAAAGCTGTGCCTCTAATTTCTGCCCAGCAGTGGGATTTGGCCGGAGAGCAGACAGAACTGGCGCGCTCAGCGTTAACAAGTGGATGCCTCCCTCCCCGTTTCTGGCACTGAACCTCCTCCTGAACCTGCACCAGCTCGGCCAGACTGGCCAAGCCTTGTCAGAACTGACAAAAGAAAAGGTCATAAAAGAATGGGTGCTTCCCAACTTTTGGAAAACTGCATTTCCCAGCCCCGTTGCTGTTTCGATGCCCGTCGGCAGCCCGAGGAACGCTGCACCCATTTCTTTTCCAAGCATACAAACCATTGCTATCATTTCATGCTAAAAAAAAAAATGCACCCAAAACAGGACTTAAGGATTTGCAAACAAAGCTGCAAAACCTGCAGTCAGAAGCTAGATTTCAGATTTTTGTTCAGTGAAATATTTGGTCAGGCTGCGGAGCAGGAGGATTCATTTTTATTTCAAAGGGGAAAAAAAAAAGAACGTGAAATCAAGTGTCTTCCTGAAACACAGACTCAGTCCAGCCCATTTGCCTGCTGTATCTTGGCTAGATTCAGCCAATAGTTGAGGACAGCCTTTGCTCCATACTCGGAGCTCGGAGGGAGAGCAGGCCTCTGTGCTAAAAAAAGCTCAGCAGCAATCCAAAACAAATGCAGAGGGAGCTGCCTCGCTCTGCGCCGTTTTGAGGGCAAAATAAAGGTTAGAAAGTCCAAACCTGCCACCTCCATCTATTTATTTCATTGAAGTATACACACGAGGGAATCACACCCACCACAAACGAGGTGGGAGAACAGCACCCTCACGTTAACAGAGCTGAAGGTGCCACGTTCTTTCATTTTTGGGTCTGTTTTCAGAGGCCAAATCAGGGTTTTCAGTGTGTGCTTTTCAAAGCCTACGCTGTTCGTTCAAGGATTAGAAAGGAAGCACAAAATATTTACCAAAAAAATTCTCCCTGAGCCCAGGGCTTACAAAATTAGCAAGTGAAAATATGGAGGCTGGAATAAAATTATATTCAGGGGTAAGGACAGTCTGAATAATATCCTTTCTATCTGTAAGACAGGCTGAAAGGTGCAGTCTCTGTCTCAACCTGTCGTTGCAGTGATGGATTATTCCAAGAGCTACAGTGAAATCAGCACTGAATGAGGAACATACTGGGGAAAAAAAAGTCAAGTGAGTATGTTTTGTAGGCATTATTAAAATGACACATTAAAATAGCTCAAAATAATCTGCTCCAGACTTTGTTTTGCCTGTCAACCAGGAAAGTAGTCAATTTTAAAGAGGAAATGCTGACAAAGGTAGGATTTCTGAGGAGCTACATCTTAACAGATGATTGTTGTTTTGGTTCTAACCCTGGCAGAACTCTGAGAAAGCAAAACAGAATTTGACATCTCTAGGTATTGGTAAACCTCAGTCCTAAAAGCAGTATTGTAGAGGATATTCCTGCTCTAACACTAACTCATCTGAATCACAGTCATCAAGGAAAAAAAAAACAACTAAAAATGCACCTAGAAGCAGCACAGAAGAACTTTTATCTCTAATAGAGGCAATCAAGACAGACAGAAATGTGTCAGAAATCTCCCATGGAATCATCTATAGAGACACATAACTGCCTGAAGTGGCAGTTTTAACAAATCAAGTGCAACTGAAGTAAAGATCTGTAATTCCAGAAGATGCATGAAGATTAATTTAAGCTAATGAATTAATATATAGGCACTTCTAAACTCTTACAGCCACTTAATTCCTGCTAACAGATTACTATTTCTGTCTGTATGGGAAACTAATTTTAAATGGTAAGAATATTGTGCCTGAAGAATGCCAAAAAAACCAACAGGACTATCCTTGTGCTTTCTAGAATCACAGAATACTAAGAGCACAACACAAATTCAGCTGTAAGAACTCACCAAAAAAAAGTTGATACAGAGAGATTCTTAAGTCTGAGGATTATGAAAATACCCCATTTAAAGATCTAAAGCAATAACCTAATGCACATATAAAAAGTAACTACAATGTCAATTGTGCTTTTTATGAAGCACAACTTATCTATCTAAAAGTTTATCTTTCTATTGGTAGTTTCAGAGCATATTTACTAAGTTGAGAAAGAAGCTCCCATTTTGCAAGAATAAAATCAGTTTTCTTCTTCAGATTTCAGAACTGAAAGTTTCGTGTCAAACTTGAGCAGATGGAGCCAAACCAGGAAACAGATGTATCCTTAATTTTGGAAAGAGGTTAAAAAGTTATACTGCAAGAAAGATACTGCTTCAACCAATACACACAGTGAGTATTCTGAAGGTGCATGGTGCTTGAAACAAGAACACTAAGTCTCAAAGCTTTAAAAATGGCACAAAATATTAATATTGTAGAGTTTATCAATGATGACATAAACCCAGGTATAAAAAACTGCTTATTTCTGCATCTATGTGGTAAAAAATAAATGAATAAATAAAAATCAGCATGTCAAGACAGGGTACAACTCTGTTCCTTCCACATTCATTGGAATTATTCTCCCACTTGAATTTTGGAACAACTTTTGTTTGGACAGCCTTTAGGACACTGCTTCATTTTTAATGTCAGAATATTAAATACTCAAAGTGTACACATGCATATAACCAACTTCAGTTAAAAGGTGCTCAACTCTTGGACCACAGACATGGGCTGAAGAGCTATTTTTAGTACTCTGATTCACCTGCCTTACCACTGAGAGTGGTTTTCTCACCCTCAAGGACCCAAACTGCACCCTTGGATGATCTACTGACACATTTAAGTGTATGCTTACATATAATTTTGAATAGTGTCTTCAGGTTAATGGAATACTCATTTTCTCAGGGCTGGACTTAAGCAGAGTGACAGGTAACTTCAGCACTGGATCCTAGCCCCACAATCTCAACACACAGGTGGACATAACCTAACCAAATACACATCCCAAAATAGACACATTTTGATCAGAATCAGTTTTGAGGGAATAAAAAAAAAAACCAAGCAAACAACAACTTACTGGACAAAGAAGAGAAACTCTTAAGCTTGTTGTTGCTATTTCACTGTCTGGGTCGGCAGTCAGTTTCTCTTTAACTGTTATTTGAAAGAAAAAAAGGGTTATTTTCCAGTTGATATAAAACACAAATCAGATGACAGAGAAATAAAACAAGTCTGAAACTGTGCTAAACTCAGTTTGCCATATCTACTGGAAGCAAGCAGTAGTGACTGTTGTTTCAGGCTCACAATAAAAATGAAATGTCATCACTCTTTACTCTTTAGAAAGATCATAAATGACAAGATTTAAGGAAGTGAAAAGCAGGAAAAGCTCATTTTGAACTCCAAATGTATTTCTACAGAGATGTCTCTTTTCATATACATGCAACTTCATACTTGACAGTTATTAAAGTCTACCAGCAAGATGAGCTACTTTGACTTGGTTGTTAACTTCAAGCACACTAAAAAAAACCCATCTGAGAACTCTCACAGCCTCAGTCTCACCTTGTAGACAAAGAGCAGTAGCCACCTAGAAACTCTCTATATTTTTGTGCATTTAAATCAGCACAAGCTATACTGGCTTTGGAGCATTTACTGCTGGACTAATTTCTTTCCTTTTGGGTCCTGTGCTGTGTACAACACACGTTATCTGAGCATTAAAGAGGACAACCAACAGCTATCAGGTGTTGGTATTTTCACTCCCTCCCTGCAAAAGAAACATGCAGGAGGTTTTGCTTGCATTTTTATTATACAAACTTACAGCAACACATATCTGTCAGAGAAAACAATAAAGCAGCAAACTTCATGCTAAATTGGAAGGGGGCTGGGAGGAGCATTGTGCTAGAGACTCTCTCTCTCCAGGAGCTCACTCCACAGGAACAAAAACCTGTGTTGATGGAGACTTTCCTCCAGCATGTCAGCAGCAAGGTTCAGTATCAGGCATTTAGGTCAGCTCGCTTGAGGTACTGAATTACCAGTTAACTATATAAATACAGTTGTTCTGTTCTGAAGAAACAAAGCCAGGATGGCTGAACTGAAAGAGATTCTCTTGCATTTTTCCCTTCACAGTGTCAACAGGGTTCCTGGACTGGCTCCTAGTACAAACAAAGGCCTCTGAGTCTTTGAATTGGAACCGAATACAAAGAACACCACTATCAGATTCTCCAACCCCAGAGAATTGTAGGAAGTCCAAACCTCAGGCAGTACAGTCTTAATTCAAATCTCCTTTTACAAAAGCTACTTTTCCTTTTCCAACCAGTGGTGCATCAGACATACTTAGAGCTCTGGAATGATCGGGGTTCCGTATTCCTTTTGCTCTCAACCTCTGCAGCAACACCGTAGAGGACAGCTGCTTGACAAGGTAGACTGCCATGGAGTAGTTCTAGAAAATGGAACAGAAGAGCCAAGTCAAAACTGTTTTAACCAAAAGGCAGCTTGTATTTTAGGCGGCACTTATGCAGTTTGTTAGGTGATGACAGGGCACTGTGTTTCTAAAGCAGCTACAGGACTTTAGACAGCAGCGTTTTCAGACCAGACAAAATCCATCGTGCTCCAGAAAGTTCAACAGCCTGGAGTTTTAGAGGTACAACAGAAGTGACTTCCCACTTCACTGAGATGAGTTAGCTCCAAACCAAGCTAGTAAAACAGCATTTAGGACACTTCTGGAAGTTTTACCTCTAAACTAGAGACATGCAGCCTACAGATGTGCTAAGAAAGGTAATTCTACATCAACATTGGCAGGTACTGCCATTGGATCAACACATTCAAGAGAAGCTGTCAGGTCAAACTATTTTTTTTTTCTAATAAAAGCTTATTTTGTTTTCAAAATAGGAAAATCAGCAGTGATGCCTCTTCAAAAGCAACACATTCAAAGGTGCATCACCTGCAGTCTGGAAGCACTGTTCAGCTTTCTTTTTCTCCTCTTCCTGCACTCGCTGCCTATGAAATGGGAACTCCACTGCCAAAGCTCAGCAGAGGCAAGGCAGCTGAAGAGCTCAGGAGTTCAGCAGCACCAACACTTATTCCAGTGAATCTTGCTGGAGTGGGCAAGAAGTCACTGCTCCCAACTGTCTGCCCTTTTCCTCTGGAAGAGGTTAGGTGACTTCCCCCCATTAGTGTTCCCAGATGCTCACTTGAATTCTCCATTCCCTCGAGGGAGGAGCAGGAGTGGCAGAGTGCTCCTCCCAGTGTCACAGACTGGTTTCACACCACAGCCTGACAGTTCTGGAGCTCTCAGTTTTCCTCCTCAGCTCCTAACAGCAGCAGGTAATAACTGTCTTTCTAAAAATGTGATACCATGCTATGCATCCATCAGCCATACCCCAAAACAGAAAGGACAAAATTTGTGTTCTCACCTTAGGGCCCATCAATTGCTTTTTGATATAAACAGTATGTGCTAAACCTGCAGCTGCACACTGAGAAATGAAAGACTTCCCCCAGCAACCACCATGTGTTTCCACAAATAAAACAAAAAAAATCCCCACAAGAGTGACATCTACCATCCTTTATTTAAGATGCCACCAGAACCCGAAGACGGGATTTCAGTTCTATATCTTCCCATAAAATTAGACAAATTGAAACAGCATCAGAAACACCACGTTTTAAATATTGTATTCTTCCAACGAATGCTTCTCACATCGTTAAAAACCACTACTGCTTTAACTTGTTTGTTTAATGCCTCAATTACGATAGGAGTTGGAGAAATGCTAATTAACGTTGGGAAATTATTTACCGACAGCTTGAATCTACAAAGCTAGGAACTGGCCCAAGGCGTCTTGTACAGAAGGCTCTTGAAACAGATTGTGTCAAAATCACAAGGATGACTTGAGGAAAGGTAGAGCACACCAGTTGAGACATGCAACCACCTCTTCAGGGAACGGGAGGAGGGGAATTCAAATTCTGTACTAAACAGGAATGTCTAGATAGGAAATAATTCCTCCCATTTAACTGTCAAGGTCTCAATCGCTTTTAAGCAGCACGGCAGCTCCTGAGTGGGGAAGTTCTGACTGGGATCCAATTCTCCTGAAATACAGGAAGAATTTGCCACTTTCTTCAGTTTTGAATCATTAGCTAGAAGCTGGACAAGGGGGGTTTTAGAACTGAAGTGTGTGTGAAGGCTGAGAAACTGCCTAGCTCACAAGAGAGCAGCTTAGGGTCCATGCACACTTGTGACACATCTTTCCCCAAATCCTCACTGCTTTTCTACAGGAAAAGTGTAGCCCTGTAGGCAGGGCAACCACCAGGATCCATCAACTTGCACTCACCAGAGCAGGTTCAGTTTTAAATGCTTATTTCTGATACTTGCAGCTCTCATGAGATAAAGGAAGAGTTGTTTTTTTTTTTAAAAAAAACCCACAACTCATTCAGCCACCATTTATTTTATAATCTGAATGGAGGCCGCTTTATGCTCCACAAGAAATCCCTCCTGAAATGCCATTGTGGTGTTTTATAACCTGCTATTGTGCACGACAGGGCTGTGAGCATTTTTCCACACCAGTTCAGGAATCCTGGGCTTAGAGCACTGACAAATGCTTGGACAAGGTTTCATCTTGGGACTTCTAAAAGCAGGATGGTCGCAATGGCAAAGCCACCAGTTTTCAAGTAGGTGTGGCCTCTGCAACACCCACCTAGGAGTTTATTTGCTGTTATAGCAGTGTGCTAATTCACAGGTTAATTTATTGAGATAACTTTTCACAGCATGTTCCAGATTTCATTAGTCCAGTGGAACATCAGCAACTTTATAACACCAACTGTAATGTTCTCCTCACAGACAGAAAGAGTTATAAAAAAGTACTTTTAAAATATTAAGTATAAGGATAGCAGTTGTGAGAATAGGAAGTTCTGAGAAGTACAAGTGACAGGACAAGAGGAAACAGCCTCAAGTTGCCCCAGGGGAGGTTGAGGTTGTCCCTGAGGAACAATTTGTTGCCCTGGAGGGTTGCCCAGGGCTGTGCCAGGCTGCCCAGGGCAGTGGTGGAGTCCCCACCCCTGGAGGGGTTTCCAAGCTGTGGAGATGTGGTGTGAGGGACACGGGGCAGTGGGGACCTGGCAGGGCTGGGGAATGGTCGAACTCAAGCTGAAAAGCCTCTTCCAACCAAAACAATTCTATGATTCTAAATGTTAAAAAGGCAAATGAAACCTCTTGAGCCCTGCTGAGTTACTATGATTTGGGTCCACATTTACCATGACAAAAGATCACTCTGTAATGAATGTCACACGCAAGTTACAAGTTGAATCATGACAAGGTCTGTCAAGTCCCTAAAATCAGGAAGATCTTGAAGTCTGAAGTTAAGACAAACCAAAAATAAGTTTTATAGGACATCTTGATCTAATTATCTGGGCCCTCAATGAGCCACAAAGATAAATGGGTGGGGGGTGAAGTGGGAAAGACAGCATCAAAAAATCTGAGGGCTACTGATAGGAGTATATCCTACCTGCCCAGCATAAAGCAACACAATCCAAAGGAGGAACAGCCTACTGCTAAACCACGAAGCATTTCTGCACACTTAAACCTGCTTATCTTTCAAACAGATGCTGAAGGAGAGCCTAGGAAGCTTCAGACAGCAGCATGTAGGCAAGTTACTTACTCTTCCAATTTCTGCAGTCCATGAGACCACGATTGTGTTGGGGACTGTGGTGGACAGCCTGACGAGTGAGGTAATGTTGATTGGTCGGCTCGGTCGCTTTGGTTCAACCCCATTTTTGGTTGGTGGAAGATAGCCCTAGAAATCAAAGTGGTTTTTCCCCTCAGCAAAAAGGAAAAATAAATAATGCCTTTGCCTTCTTCCCCTCTCAGCACAGCCCTGCCCCAAGAAAAGCTGTCTCACCTCACCCGGGCTCCCTCTTCAATTTAAAGAGCTATATATATCAGACAATAAAGTGTCAGGTGTTTTACAAGCCCCTTCTCCTTACACAAGGTCTCACACTTTCCAAAGCCTCACTCTGCCCATGGAAAATAAAAGGCCCTTTTGCCACCTCCCCTGTCTCAGTACTGCCTATCTCACATCACCCAGTTTAACCCTACACAACACCCCAATACCCTTAGTGGGCTAGTAGTTGTTGGTCAGTGATGGTCTATTCCCTGCACAGATAATCCCCCCAAACAGAGTCCAATTTCAGCCAGGCTCTGCATGTTTGTCCAACAAACATTTACTGCCATGTTTTTTGAAAATACATCTTCTGGATCTATTGGTTGGTCTCCTGAGAAACAATCTGCTCAACTATCTTCTCCATTTACCTACCCACTGTCACTCAAATGTGAAAACAAAGGTTAGAGCAAATCCTAAGGCTACCTTCTGACAGAGAGTTCCTGATATTGCTCTCCAAATATGTATATATATCAAAATAACATCTTACTTACTGGAAGGCTGCATGGTTTCCCATTTACTTTCACACACAGATTGGGTGGGAAGTGATCTTCTTGTGGACAACTGGTTTCTGATAAACAAAACCTAAAAGCAAAGAGCTTCCATCATCTTTCACTTCTAAAGAGATTTAGACATCATCTCTTCCTAGGAATTTTTTTACCACCGAGTTTTGAAGGCATGACAAATTCTTGCTAAACCCAGCCCTCAAATTTGCTGTACAGATCATTAAGTAGAAAAGACCCCCCTGCTTTGGATCAAGATGGCTGTAGGTTCCTCCACAGATCTCCTGAATTCCTCAGACTGACTCTGACTCATTCAGATCTGCAGGTTCCTGATACAAAAGACAGATCAGCTGAATTTCTTTCCTACCATTTCTCCAGCCTGACCTCTTGATACAAGACCAGAGTTTCACAAAGGGCAAGGAACAGGCTCTCCTGAGCTGTCCCTCCTCCAGCTCCCACAAACCAGGCAGCTGTTAGGCACAGCACCAAATCCCATCCTCCTGCCTATGTGAAACCTCTCACGTTCAGACAGATTTATTTATTTGCTTAAGTTCAGACAGGCTTGTTTGCTGCTGGAACCAAAATAAGACACTTCCTTCCTTGCCCTACAAAACGCCTGTAGGCCAAGATCACGCACAGTAAGAATCCAAAGGACCAAAAAGAGCTCCTCAACTCCAACAGATTTCTTCCAGGGGACCTGCCCCATCCACACAAATGTACCATCACATCAGGGTACAGCCAGTCAAGGCAGCTGAGCCTAACAGCAAGGACCTTCTGTCCCTGTTTTCCCTCATGCCCTCCTCATCCCTTTGTCCATCTGACCCCACACCAAGACAATCCTTGATCAACAGAAGCTATCCCAACAAGCAAGACCTAAAAGCAACTGCTGTGGGGTGAGTTAACAGCTCACCATGCACAGGGACATGGTTTAGTGTTGACCTGGCAGTGCTGGCTTGGCCGTTGGACTCCATCCTAAAGTTCTCTTCCAGTCAAAACAATTCTACCATTCTGTGACCAGGTGGATCAAAGGCAAGACAGACATTTTTGACAGGAGCATGCTCTGAAGCCAGCTCTGCTCACAGCCCTTCTCACAGGATTACAGGGATACAGAGGATTTAAATCAACTTACAATACATCTGTCAAAACTGCTAAAACAACCAACAGGTTAAGACCCCATCTGGTGATTCCCAAAGCCTTGCCTCCCTCCCACTGCCTGAAGAAAAGTAGACCTTGAACTGCCCTGCCAAGGAAACACTGCTGAACACCTCTGCTAGGAAAAACAACCCTCCCTCCACGCAGATTTTGAAGGCCCAGGCACCTGGAATCTGACAGAAGTGAAGCTAAAGAAAGGAGCAAACACACAATGTAAAATAACTAACTGAAGGAAAGCTTTTCTCAGGAAAACAAGAGGATAAGAGTCTTCTCCTTACAAGAAAGCCTGACCTCCTGGGTAGCACACACAGATTTTAAACAAGAGCATCAAAACCAGGTGACACAAAGACATACCTTAGCTGGACCTGTACTGTGAAGTCACATTTGGTCCCAGAAATATCCCTAGAAACAACAGAACACAGTTTAAAACATCGTTTACACAACAGGTTCATCAGTATTTTCTGAGAGTTTGCTGTTAGTTCAGGGTATGGACACCCACACTCTCCTCCTGGTCAGTCAAACCACCACTCCCAAGCCACACTTTTTGTTTTTCAAAGTAAATAAATCAATTACACTCTCAACTGACCTCTACCATTTCCTTTTTATTGTAAGCTATAAAGAAAATCCTGATGAGTCACTATGAAGTACCATCTTTATAGTGACTAAACATAGAGCGTGCCAAAGGATCTGACTGCTGTTGAGAAAGGGCTGCAGAAAGCAATTTATGTACTTCTCCAGTGCTCCAAACAAGAGAAGTATTTAATTCACCCTTCCTCACCCTCCTCCTCTTCATCATTTTTTATACAAAGGAAAAAAAGAATTCCCCAAAAGAGTATTTTCTAAGGCACTACGCACAAACCTGGGTCCTTCAAGATGACATTTCAAATGGGAAGGGATGGTGAGCTAGTTCTTTTTAATTTCTTTTTATTTAGATACTCTACTACTGATGGGACTCACATTGAACTGCTGATTTGCTGCACTTGTTGTGGCGTCAGTGCAAATGCAAAGCAGGTTTCTCGAAATCGCTGACTGTTATCTGATGCTGGAAGGAAACAAGAGATCATCGCTTTAGAAACAGCAAATAGAGACTAATTAACAGAACAATCACCTTTCATTAAAGAGTCTGCATAGATATACACGCATTTTTATAGCGAGCCCAACAGCACAACACACATCTGTTTCTGTAACCGGTTTTTGAGCCAGCAAGAAAGTTGTTATTTAAACCCTCCTGTAAATAAAAATACAATAAACAAACTTTATATGTATGTAGAGTGTATACTGAAATAAGTGACACAGGTAACAGCAAAGCTGAGACACATCAGCATAAGGTTTTCTATCAGTCACAGTAGCTTAACACTAAATGTACTTTGATATTAAATTTTTTTAAATCCTTTTGAACTCTCCATCGATCGCTTTTGTTATTTCCTTTAACACCCCAGACTGTGAAAGTTTACAGAGCACCTGAGAAGCACAACACGTGCAAGCTCTCACGCTCCAGGAAGATGTTTTACAGACTGAAATGCCCAAATATATAACACACAAACAACTCGTGAGATCCACAAGCATGAAATCTGGTTTTGAAGCCCTTCGACTCTGTGCTCTGTAGCCAAACACCGATTTTCAGCACGAATTCCAAAGCCAAATCCTGTCAAACATCTCCTGAAGTAGCCCTTCCATGTCTCAGGAACATCCCTTCCCCAGGCTTAGAGGCACTGCAGCACACAATCACATACAACAGCAATAAAAATAGCTTTTTTAAATAAATTAAATTTTAAAAAAAGAGAGCAGCACCTCCCCTGAGAGCTGTTCAACACGCTCCCTGACATGTGCACTGAAGTGAGAGCTGCAAGAAGCCTGCCACTCAATTTCATTATTCTTAATAACTGTATAAGGTTATGAATAACTATATTGTGTATTAAACACTCGATAAATTTGCCATTTTTTTTTTGTTTTACTATAATACACTCCCTGACTCATCCTTGAGTGACAGATGAGTGAATACTTCAGGGTGATACTTCAGATATTTTGTTAAAAACAGCATGTGGTAGGTTGGAACCAACAATAGAATAGGCATTGACTTAGTATAAATATTACCAGCAGCAATCTCACAAAATGACATTTCTATCTCCTAGGTGTGACAGTGCAGTGAGGTCTGGACACTTTATTCCAGCAGCCACCACAGCCACACGTGGTTCTTCACCAGGTCCACTAAAGCTGGAAGGGCAAAACACACCAAAGAGCAATTGCTGTGAAACTCTAGCAGCAGTAAATCTTTTTCAAAGTTATTCATATAACTTTCTGTGTTTTTAGAGGCATATGTTTATATGGAACCCATCTCCTAGGAGGACAGGCTGAAAGAGTTGGGCTTGTTCAGCCTGGAGAAGAGAAGCCTCCAGGGAGACCTTCCAGTATCTGAAAGGAGCCCACAAGAAACCTGGGGAGAGACTTTTTACAAGGGCTTGCAGTCATAGGACAAGGGGTAATGGCTTCAAACTGGAAGAGGGGAGATTTAGGTTGGATATAAGGATGTTCTTCACTCTGAGGGTGGTGAGACACTGGCCCAGGTTGCACAGGGAAGTTGTAGATGCCCCATCACTGGAGGTGTTCAAGACCAGATTGAACAGGGCTCTGAGCAACCTGCTCTAGTGGGAGGTGTCCCTGCCCCTGGCAAGGAGATTGGAACTTGGTGACCTCTAAGGTCCCTTTGCAAACCAAACCATTCTATGACTTTATGATAGTTCCTTTAATTTTCCAATAATATTTTGTCCCACGATGTCCAAAAGCACCATCTGGGCAAAGGTGCAGCCCCAAGTTGATGTGTGGCCAGACCCTCACGCCTGCAGCATCTATTTTTATTTGAACCCATTTTCAGTTACATTTCTTCAAATGAGAAACACACCAGGCTGCAGCCAACAGCCAGCCATGGTCTCACAGCAGAAGAATTTGCAGGAAATATAAACACAATGTATACAATTAACAATGAAAATCTGTTACAATATTGGGTCTTCAATGCAATTTTATACCTATTTTTAGTTCTAAATAGATGAGAATTACGTATTGTAATCAACAAAAGGTGAATGAGCCAAAGTTAATGCACTGCAGACCACAGAATGGAATGAATAGAAGTTATTATTTCATATTTTTATGTGGTTAAATGTGGCCTTAATCTGTTGGTTTCATTTTCTTTCTATGTATTAAATGCTTTACCCTAGAAACTGAGCTGTGGCTTTATTAGAAAAATTCTGGAAGGTCTTTGAGAACTTTTATTGTGAACTCCAACCCCTTTAAAGGACAAGACTGCTGAACATTAAATGCTACCTTCACTGGAAATTTAGTCATCCAAAGAAGTTAAATGAAGTACATCCCTGAGTGCTGACCCAAGAGCTTTCCAAGTCCCATGTTCCTCACAAGCCAGAGTTCTAGCACATTTCTAAGACTCTCTGCTTGCAGCAAAACTTTTTGCAACAGAAAGAGCAATTTCCAACTCCTAACCATTAAAATAGCACAGAAATGTGAAGTATTGCCAGTGACTGCATTGGGCACACCACAGTGAATGAATTCACTCTTAACCAGAACCCACCTAAGATGAGAAAGGCCAGAGGGGAGGCTGGATGGTCGGTTGGTGTTGACTAAGACCAGAATGGTCTCCAACATCTCTTCTTATGTTGGCTGTCAACTTCATAAGCACCAGTTTTAATAAACAACTCGCCTAATAAGCACAAGCCCACGAGCTGACTGACTGGTAGGCTTCAGGCAGAGTGGTTGGAAAGTGCCCAGCAGAAAAGGACCTGGGGGTGCTGGTGGACACCTGGCTGAACATGAGCCACCGTGTGCTCAGGTGGCCAAGAAGGCCACCAGCATCCTGGCCTGGATCAAAACCAGTGTGTCCAGCAGGAGCAGGGCAGTGATTGTGCCCCTGGACTGGGCACTGGGGTGGCCAGAGCTTGAATATTGAGGTCAGTCTGGGGTGCCACAGTAGAAGAAAGATATTGAGGGACTGGAGCAGGTCCAGAGAAGGGCAACAGCTCTGGGGAACATGGCTTATGAGGAGCAGCTGAGGAACCTGGGGGTGTTTAGTCTGGAGAAGAGGAGGCTAAGGGGAGACCTTTTGGATCTCTACAACTCCTGACAGGAGGTTGGAGTGAGGTGAGGGTTGGCCTCTTCTCCCAGGTAACAGGAGATAGGACAAGAAGAAATGGGCTGAAGTTGTGCCAGGGGAGGTCTTGATTTGATATTAGGAAGAATTTCTTTCCTGGCAGAGTGGTGAGGCCTTGGCCCAGACTGCCCAGGGAGGTGCTGGAGTCCCCATCCCTGGAGGGGTTCAAAAACCATGTAGACGGGGCACTTGGGGACGTGGGAGTGTTGGGTTGATGGTTGGACTTGATGAACTTAGAGGTCTTTTCCAACCTTAATGATTCTATGATGCTGTCAGTGGTCCCCAGTGACCAGAGAGGTGCTTCACCCCTGCACTCAGCATTCCCTTCGCTGTACAGCAGTGTCAGCCACAGGCCCTGCTGTGTGCAAGCAGCAATCACCATGATCACCACGGGAGCAGGGCCAAGCTGCAGAGGAGGAAGAAGCAACTTGTTAATCAGGCAAAGATGATTCAAAAACCAATCGAAAGCTTTTGAAACTCTTGACAGATTGAGTAGTACAGAGGAAGGCAGACAAGAAGCTTCATTACTCTAGAAGACAGTTATGGTCAAGCTCTTCACCTAGCCCTAGGATACAGCTCTGCCCCTTGGGCGTGACAACAGGAAAAAGCAAATTTTATCACTAATTGCCCAATTCAGTGTGTGCTACCATATCCAAGTTGAGCTTTTAGGAACAAGCACGTTTCAGTCACTTACAAAGACCTAATTTTAACATCTACATTCAGCACAACGTTCAGGAACAGCAAGAACAAACCAGGCCAAGAACAAACCAAGATGGTTTAACACAGAACCAAAAGGACTTGAAGAAGCAGCCTGGAACAGTGAGGAATCTGAAAGCCCAGCTCCATTCCACAGGGGCTGTGGGGGTTAAAAGCATCATTGCCATTTTCCAGCTTTTGGTTAAGGTCCCACAGTGGCTGCTCTAACACCACCACACCAGGACACCCTCCCACCAGCCTCTCCTGTTGAGCAGCACTCCCAGCCCGGCCACAGAGAGGAGGGCAGAGCCAAATGTACCCACTGACTGCAAAGAGCTGGCAAATGAATGCATGCTGAGGTCAGCTAAATGTTGGGGTTGTTCAGCCTGGAGAAGAGAAGGCTCCATGGAGACCTTCTGTTGGCCTTCCAGGTCTACAAGGCAGTCTATCAGAAAGCTGGGGACAGACTTTGGAGCAGGGGCTGTTGGGACAGGACAAGGGGTGACAGATTCAAACTCAAAGAAAGATATTTAGACTAGAGAGGAGGAAGAAATGTTGCATGCTGAAGTTGTTGAGCCCCTGGCCCAGGTTTCCCAGAGAGGTGGTTGCTGCCCCATCCCTGGAACCATCCCAGGTGAGGTTGGCCGGGGCTCTGAGCACCCTGCTCTAGCTGCAGATGTCCCTGCTCCCTGCAGGGGGATGACCTTGAAAGGTCCCATCCAAGCCAAACCACTCTATGATTCTGAAATAGAGCAAGGAAAAGTCAACAGCTCCACAGAACCTCTGTTTGCCACACTTGAAAACCCACTGCCTGGGGATTTTGTTGCCTCAGATGCTGTTGCAAAGCAAGACTGTGAAGGGGCTTGTCCTGGGGGGGAGAGGGGACATGGAAGGGGCAGGTTAGGGATGAAGGACCTTGTCTGCACAGCTGAGGCTTGCGTAGGAGGAAGGGGGAATGCAGCAAACCAACCCAAACCCACCATCCTCTGGGAGGGAGATGAGAAATGTTTTTCCTTTGTGGTTTTCTCTAACCTTCTTCCATATGTTTTTGCACAATCTTTTTATACTTGCATCTATTCTTTCTAGATCTACTTACCCTCCAAACGATGCATGAAAATTTCAGCAAAGCACATTAAATGGAGCTAATTTGCCAGTTTTGCTATTAAATACTAAGCTTCCATGCTTATCAATGACTATACAAACTCCTCTATT